TTTGAACGCATGAGCAACTACCGCATCATATTCGCACGGCATATGATATGATGTCATTGCTTGATGCAGATCATCGAGCAATAACAACGCGAAACATGCCACTCCTACCGACTGACCTAACGAGGTACATCGCACACTGAATTTATAGCAAGATATTGCCATTTCCCTATTGGCTCAAATCACCAGGCTCTTACATTTTCATTTTTGTCATTATTTCAGCTACTGCAAATGTAACTAACAAATTGCAAACAAAATCAATTTTTGACATTTCGGTTATGGCATCTATAATTAAACAAATGATTCAGCGTTAAACCGCCAAACGCTTAAGTTGCATGTTACCCATACCCAACGTGTGCCAATCTCATCATAAAAGCTAACATATTAACCAAGTCAATAAATCTGTAGTACTTAAAAGTATTTTTTTCGGATTTCCAAAGAACTGGTATGGCGTTCCGAAAGAAACTTCCAACTGTTGGGCCACACATTTTCAGAGTTTCCTGCTGTCAGGCTAGCATTTTGCGTTGGACGTTGCATGCAACTTGGAGAGGTTGAATGCGACTCGTTCAACTTCAACCAACAGTTAGGGGTGTGCCAGCTGAATAGACACAGAAACGGATATCAAATCGGAGAGTTGTTGCCGAATGTTAGGTGGGAATTTTGGAATGTTAATTATCACTACATTGGAAATATTTAAACATTTTATGATGATTCATTTTCACAAATTAAAACAATTTGACAATAAATTTAAAAACATTAAATATATTTGAAAAAACTGTCGTAGAAAACTTTTGAAGTGCACATCATTTTTTTCATATACACTTTTAATATTTAATTAAGTCTATGGTTGTAGTAAAATGCGTTAATATTTATAACTTCCATCTTTTCTACACTTGAAAAATCATAAAAAAATAGCCAACCTAATATTGCGAGTTATAAACGACGATGATTGTAATCATAAATTTATCGGTTGTCAAAGCCGCGTGATAAAAAACATCAAATAAACCTCATTAATGTTAACTTAACGGTTTTATCATCGTCAATTTTTTTAAACAAACTTCGATTCATTTTATATTGTTGTAATGACCTCGTAACTGCCAACACCGATGTAATAGCTTCAAAGATCTCTATATTTTCAACACCAATGTTCTAGCTTCCAACGATTGTCAAGAGTTCGTTATCCGTAGGTTCAAGATTTCCGATAGATGAACACAACTGCTTCAAACGCAAACTTTGATGAACGTTTATTTGAATACCAACAGTAATAGAAACAATAAACTAATCCAAATAACTACATAGATCACACTTGCGACTTCGCTCTCCCTTCGCTTGTAACCTCCGCTGACTAAACCTCGCTCGTAAGTCGTATTTATAGTCCGTTTTACAATTATAGATCATATAATTAGAATAAATATAACGGCCTTCGCTCATTTTTGACGGTCGAACAAGGAGCTTACTTCCAGAGGGAAATTGGAGAGTGATTTTTTATCGCCCAAGTCAAAAGTTACGATCGTATATTTACTAATTTCGGAATATTGCTTTTATTTAAAATTTCAAAATGTTTTTAAAGGTACATATATAGTAATGGCTACTGTTGTTTTTTTATAATGAATTTATAAAATATATAAATATAGCGAGCAAAATATTAACATAAAAGCGCATTTAAATCTATGCATATTGGCTCAGCTTGGCTTGGCTCGGCTTGGAATCGGATGTTAAGCAAGGTGTGGTTTCAAACTATTTTGAATTCTCCCCGAAAAATTTGAACTGCGTGCGTACATATATAGTAATGGCTACTGTTGTTTTTTATAATGAATTTATAAAATATATAAATATAGCGAGCAAAATATTAACATAAAAGCGCTTATAAATCTATGCATATTGGCTCAGCTTGGCTTGGCTCGGCTTGGAATCGGATGTTAAGCAAGGTGTGGTCTCAAACTATTTTGAATTCTCCCCGAAAAATTTGAACTGCGTGCGTACATATATACTAATGGCTACTGTTGTTTTTTATAATGAATTTATAAAATATATAAATATAGCGAGCAAAATATTAACATAAAAGCGCTTTTAAATCTATGCATATTGGCTCAGCTTGGCTTGGCTCGGCTTGGAATCGGATGTTAAGCAAGGTGTGGTCTCAAACAATTTTGAATTCTCCCCGAAAAATGTGAACTGCGTGCTTACATATATAGCACTGATTAATGTTGCTTTTATAATGAATTTTTATTATATATATATATATAAAGTGACTGGAATCCATGTATACAAATAATTAAATTATATTATATTAGATTATGTGTTTATATGAAAAGCAATATAGCAGATTCAACCAGCCAACCAGAAAGTTTCGAAGGCGTACGTTCGATGACTTCAATTTAGTACTGTTAGCATTGTGGTTAAGACTGTATAATAGTGCAGTATATACATTAAACAAGTTTTTTACTGATGCGAATGATTGAAATGATTAGAATGTATGGTTGAAACGAGTATAAATAGAGGAGCTGAGACAACACGAAAATCAGATCAGCATTCTGCCTCGCTTGAAGCAGTCTGTCTGATCTCATTTATTTTATTTTTAAAATTTTTTTATTTTTATTTATTTTATTATATAGAGTTATATAGAGTTATATAGAGTTATATAGAGTTATATAGAGTTATATAGTGTTATATAGTGTTATATAGAGTTATATAGAGTTTGCATGTTTGTAGGTGGTTTGAATGTTTGTAGGTGGTATTTTTTTAATTTTAGGTGGGTTCTTTAACGGTTGCTCATACATACATACATACATCATGTTTGTTTGTGTGGTAGTATTTTATGTTCTGTTTTACTCCTTTTTCTCTTTTTTCATGAGTCTTGAGTTAAGTTAATGAAGCATAGGTAGGTGAGGTAAAAATTAATTTATTATATAGGTAGGCTAGGGCATAAGGTAATTTAGTTACATAGGTAGGTTAGGGACTCCCATTCTTTTACTCTACTTGGTGGTGCGATTTTTGTTTTGTGTTTTGTTTTTGATTTGTTTCACATCATACATTCAGCAGGTACGCAGTGGTTCCTGGTTTTAGTGGGATTTTTATTGATTGAATGTGGTAGTATGCATGGTTATATAGAGTTATATAGAGTTATATAGAGTTATATAGAGTTATATAGAGTTATATAGAGTTATATAGAGTTATATAGAGTTATATAGAGTTATATAGAGTTATATAGAGTTATATAGAGTTATATAGAGTTATATAGAGTTATATAGAGTTATATAGAGTTATATAGAGTTATATAGAGTTATATAGAGTTATATAGAGTTATATAGAGTTATATAGAGTTATATAGAGTTATATAGAGTTATATAGAGTTATATAGAGTTATATAGAGTTATATAGAGTTATATAGAGTTATATAGAGCATAAATCCTATATAGATACCTTTCTTTGCTCTTCTTTTCTCTTTTTTTTGCCGACCGGTCGGTTTCTTTGCGATTATTTTTATTTAAATTGGATAAATAAGATTTGTCCATTCATTTAGGTTTTTCAGGTTCATTTATCCAGGTTGAAGCTTCCAGAGGAGTTCATCGTGGACGATCAGAATGGTTGTGATGTCACGCTACGTTCGTTCATTCGGTGGCAAAGAATGCACGCCCTGCTGGGGTACGTTTTACGGTTTCTTTGCGGTTCTTTTTTTTGCCAGTTGGCTGGCTTTTCCGGCGGGTTTCACCGCGGCTCGTTTTTCTATTTTCATTTAAATTAGTCAAATAAATAAGATTTTTCCATTTCATCCATTTTATTCAGGTTGAAGCTTCCAAAGGAATTCATCGTGGAAGATGTCAGGCTACGTTCTTTCATTCAGTGGCAAAGAAGATACACCTGGCTGGGATACGTTTTATTCTTTTTTCTCTGTTTTTCTCTGTAATTTAACATTAAGTAAGAATGCTCACACGCACACACACATACACACAATTACATTAAGTAGCTATATAGGTAGGTTAGATAGGCATAATTTTAATTGTAGGTAAGATAGATAGGAAGCATCCAACACTAACGTAGTTGAATAGGTAGGCAGCGTAAGTTTATCTCTTCTATTTTTTCTCGCACCCACATTACACGCATCAGCGTATTATACACACACACACAAATACATACATAAACATATATTAGTATTTGAGCGTTATTTTATTTTCATTACACATTCTAATTTATTATTACTAAGGTTGAGAGTAATTTAATTTCATAGGTAGTTAAAAGCAATAATTTAATTCTAGGAACAATCTTGTAATTTAAATTAAATAAACGCTGTAAGTGTATCGAGAGGTAAGTTAGTTATTAAGTTTTACATTATTATTATTAGGTTGGAGCCCAAGGCATTACGTAGGTGGTGGGGTGGGTGCCGAAAGGCCAATGAATTGGGCTCTTGAGTTTTGTAATTTTAGGTAAGCAAGGGCCATAATGTAATGAATAGGTAAGTTAAGGCTACGTTGTAACACACACTCATTAATAGATTTAGGGTTTAAGTTTTATATTATTACTAAGTTGGAGCCCAAGGCATTACGTAGGTGGTGGGGTGGGTGCCGATTGGCAAATGAATTGGGCTCTTGAGTTTTTTTTGTAATTTTAGGTAAGCTAGGGCTTAATTGTAATGAATAGGTAAGTTGAGGGTACGATAGCCGATAGACTCTGAATTTCGAAGTCTGTTGTCAGAGGTAAGCCTTGGTGGCCAGTGATGTACCGGCAATGGTTTACTATCCGGACGGCAATGGTTTACTATCTGCACCGTAATGATTTACCATGCGGCACGACCATAGTCTACTACCCGCACGGCTTCCGGACGGCAAATGGTTTACTATCCGCACGGCAATAGTCTACTATCCGCACGGCAATGGTTTTCTATCCGGTGCCCTGGCTGTCGGTGAACCTCTGTGCAAGGAGGAAGAATGAAAGGGGACTTTCGACTATCGTACCATTAACAATTTAATATAGATTAGTTAAGGTAATTGAATAGGTAGATAGGATTATTTTTATTAAGCAATTTGAGATGCAGGCACCGCTAAGCTTTCTGATGAGAATTTACTCTTTCTCTATCTTTCTCCATCAACACGGGCTGTGTTTCAGCAACAACCTCGAGGAGGACTGGCACCAGTTTTGGAGGACAACGTAGGAACCGGACCGCATTCAACATTTTGCCTTTGTCGAATGGACGACGGTAAGTTTTTTTTACATTTTACTTACTTTATTATTTTAAAATTTTATTTATTTGACATTATTCTCATTTTATAATTTAATTTTTTTTGCTTCTAAGATTCTAACATTCATTTACTACTACGCAAATAAAAAATTTTGTTTACAGAATGATGAGAGGTGGGCAGTGGTGGGAGTCAGCACGTTCAGATG